TGCTAGCACTTTCTTCATTTCCCTTCTGCATTTCAGTCATTCCTTTAGCTACTGCTTCATTCACCTTATTACCTTCCTACCGCAACTTCCAATTCGGGTTAGAAGTTGACGTGTTCACTGACTGCCTCGCAGTCTCCTTCATCTTCAGCTGTCTTTCCACTTTCATGGCTACATGCAAAATATCTTCCAACTCCACATAATGCAATTTTCGTCTTGTAGTTTCAATAAACAGGTTGATGAGAACCCTGCAGTAGCAGTGACTACGAAACCCACAACGAGATTGATGCAGAACCCAAGAANTAATCATCAATATCTCCATCTCCTTATGATAGTCTTCTACGCTCTTTGACCCTTGATACAAACTCTGTAGTTTTTGATGGAGCTCCATATAGTAATGACTAGGTACAAACCGTCTTCTCATCACTGCCTTCAATTCATCCCAAGTATTGATAGGCCTCTCTCGATTCCGACGCCGCGAAGTAACCACTTGATCCCACCAAGTGATAGCATAATCAGTGAATTCCAACACCGTAATTTTCACCTTCTTATCCTCCGAATAGTTATGACAATCAAAAATCAGCTCCACCTTTTTCTCCCACTCTAAATATGCCTTGGGATCACTCCTACCCTTAAATTGTGGAACCATCATCTTTACATTACCCAAGTTACCATCAACTTCACCTCCATTGTTATTTCTGCCCCGTCGCTCAAACCTATGGCCTCGATGCATCATCCATCCCATCTTACTCCCCTCATACTCATCTTCACCACATTCACTACCGGTCTCATTCTCATCCATCCTAGAAACTCCCCTACCCATCCTCCTATCATTAGGTACATCATTCGATTGTCCCCTACTAAGATTTACCCTCGAATTATTCAATTTCTCCATCATTTCTCCCATATCCATCAGTAACCGCTTAAACTGATCCATCCTATCATGTTGCACATTGGTATGGTTACCGTTTCGACTAGAATTTGAGCCTTCCATATCGGGCATTCTCTCAATTTCTGTATCACCAAATTCACTCGGAGTCACTCAATTGGCTTTTACCCTCTAATAGTCTCACATTCTACCTTTTACTACTCACTACTTTTCCCAAGTGCTTCCAAAGACAACAATGAACTTACCAGATCAAACTTGTGCCTCCAAGATTATACTACCAACAAGGAAAATGTGGATCTAGGAACTGAGAACCCCGTAACAGTGGTGACTACGAACCCACAACGAGATTGATGCGGAATCCAAGAACGCCAATTAATAACCCGATTTTGGATTTGAACCCAACGAAATGAACCAAAAAACCCAACGATAACGTAGATGCGTTGAACCCCTTGATTACACAGTGAAGAACCCACAATCCGATGTTTGAATGCCACAAGAATTAGATCTTGATAAGTTCGATTTGTTGTTCAATTGAAGAACAAGGGAAAGCAATAGCCTCTCAATAATAAATTGTCAAAAGTACTTGTACAATGAAGGTTTTTGGTATTTATACTAAACTCCTAAAACTAGGTAGAAAACGTCTATAATCTCATAAATATGGTAGGAGATTAACTAAACATAGGATTCTATCAAATAAGGAAAAAATGCGGAAAAGGAAATAATCCAGCCAAAAGTTGCTCTATGCGACCGCATAGGCATCTGGCTTGCGGTCGCATAGAGTCTTTAGTTCGACCCAAGCTAGTTTCGGTAATTGGCTGTGCGACTGCATAGCTTGAGTAACTTGCATAGTTACCCGTTTCGTCTCCTTTTCCCGTGGCTTCTATTAAGTTGATCCATCCCGATTTCGGGCTCGACCCCAACATGGAACTTGCTCCATTCTTCGTCATGATCACCATATCGTCAACCGTAACTTGAACGAACAATGCCATTACCTCTTTCACTCGCTTTGTCCTCGATCGAGTCATCTGCCCTTATTCGACTCTCAATGGATGTTTCCCCGGGCATGTCCTCGTTGTAATGGTACCTTGGATCACATCACTTGGCCCATTTAATATTCTATAAATAGGCAATGTAACTTCACATTTGAAGTAAATTTTCACTTCTCTAGAGACCAAGTAAGCTCCAGGTACCTTTCTTCTTTTGAAGTGACGGTTTTTACTATTTGATCACATCGAGTACTATTGTTAGAATGACTCATTGCTGCCAACACTCAGACGGCATCCTAATAGAATGCTCAGTGGCTAGCGCAGTCCCTAATTTTCAGGAATGGTAGTGTAACTTATTAGCCAGCTGGTAGAAGTTAGTTAGACATGCTAATGGTGTATAATTCTAGAAAGTTCGAGTCTTGCAATTGTCTATATAAACCATGTAACATGAATGATAAATCATTGAAGCTTTCAACATCTTTATCTCTATTTTCTAGCTTGGTATCAGAGCCAATAATGGCTAACACCGAATCCGAAAATCAATCAAATCCGTCTAAGTTTAACACAGCACCAATCACTAAAGCAGCTGCAAATCAAAACTCACTGGTTGGAATGAATATCACCCACACACCATTAGTTAAGCTTGATAGAAATAATTTTCTGCTGTGGAAGAACATGGTCATGCCCATAATCAAAGGGTACAACCTTGATGGATATCTACTGGGGACAAAGGAGTGTCCACCAGAGTTTAGCCACTCAAACCTCCGCTCAAACAACTACTGGACAGGAAGAAGTAATGGAAATGATACAAAATCTCGAGTTCATCAAGTGGAATTTAGCCGATCAGCTTCTAATGGGCTGGTTATACTCGTCCATGACCCCAGAAATTGCAATGAAAGTTATGGGGTGTACAAGTTCAAGCAAGCTGTGGACATCAGTAGAAGAAAGCTTTGGAATATTGAACAAGTCAAGAGTGATGTTTCTTACTGGAGAATTGCAAAGAACTAGAAAAGGATCCATGTCAATAGATCAGTAGCTAACAACCATCAAACTATTGGCTGATAACCTGGAGATAGCTGGGAAAGTTATAGATCAAAGTGATCTGATAACACCAGTCCTATCAGGCTCAGACGAGGAATATACACCCATTGTGGTACAGATTAATAGTAGAGAAAACATCTCATAGTTTGAATTATCGGCTGTGCTTATGACATTTGAAAGTCGTCTCGAACACCTGAGTCAAGTTAAGAACGGCTTTACTTCATTAAGCATTATTCAGTCAAGTGTTCAACTGGCACACAGAACTACCTTAGTGTCTAGAAGAGGTTTTAGAGGTACCAAAAGTGGTAGATCACCAAGTTTCAGAGGCAGAACAAGGGGCAGAGGCAGAGCTCCAATTGGTAGACAGAATGAAACCAAAGGACCTTGTCAAATCTATGGACTCAACAATCATTCTGTAAGCTGGTGTTTCAATAGGTATGATGAAAGATATAAGGAAAGTAGGCCAAGTAATAAAGGGCCACATAACTTCAACTTAGCCCCCTCTACATATGTACTTTCACCTAGAGTTCTTGAAGATCCAGCTTGATTCATTGACTCTGGTGAGAGCAACCATGTTACTACTGATAAAGGTAATCTGCAAACTATGAATAAATATGAAAGTAAGGAAAAATTGGTAGTTGGTGATGGAAATATGTTGCACATTTCACATGTTGGGAATGGACAAGTACCTACAATGAATGATAGGCCACTTACTCTAAATAAACTGCTACATGTTCCGTCAATTAAAAGAAACTTAGTCAGTGTTTCACAACTCACTTATGATAACAGTGTTTTCATTGAATTTTACTCTAATTGGTGTGCTGTTAAGGATCTCTAAATGAAGAGGACCCTGCTGCAAGGAGTTCTTAAGGAAGGGTTGTATCAATTGCAGATGCCAAACCACAAACCAGAAAACATTACTCTCTAGTCAAACCACCAGAATAATGTTCACTGCTTTACAGTCAAGTCTGGCAGTGGTCAGTCACCTTCAGTTAAAAGAGTATTAGAGTCTGAACTTAATGTTTGGCATAGAAGGCTAGGTCATCCCTCAAACTATGTAATAAGTCAAGTTCTAAAGTCTTGTAATAAAGTTATCAAAGCCAATGAAATTCCTTCTTTCTGTGAATCACGCAAGTTTGGCAATTCACATGCTCTACCATTTAATGCTTCTCTGTCACATGCTCAAAATCCTTTAGATCTTATTCACGCAGACGTTTGGGGACCTGCTCCATTAAACTCTACCACAAGACACAGGTGTTATATAATTTTTGTAGATGACCATAGCAGATTCACATGGATATATCCCATGAAACACAAATCAGAAGCCTTAACCATCTTTATTCAATTCAAGAAACTAGCTGAAAACAGACTAGATAGAAAAATCAAATCACTACAATCTGATTGGGGTGGGAAGTTTAGGAGTTTCAGTAAAATTGCCTTAGATTCTGGTATCGAATTAAGACACTCATGCCCTTACACATCAATTCAGAATGGAAGAGCTGAAAGTAAACACAGGCACATTACAGAAACTGGGCTAACTCCCTTAGCTCAGGCTCGAATGCCCCTTCACTACTGGTGGGAGTTGTTCAAGGCTGCAACCTATTTAATCAATAGATTACCTACACCAGTCCTTCATCACAGTTCACCCTATCAAATGTTGTTTAAGAAAGACTTCGACCATAAGTAGCTTAAAACCTTTGGCTACGCCTGTTACCCATGTCTTAGGCCTTATCAAAAGCATAAGTTTAACTTTCACTCTCAAAGGTGTGTCTATCTTGGCTATGGTGATTCATACAAAGGCTATAAATGCCTGAGTTCAAGTGGTAGAGTATACATTTCTAGGCATGTTGTGTTTAATGAAAATGACTTTCCATTCGAAACAGGTTTCCTGAACAAAAAGGTCTAGCCATCCACATATGAAAATGTCTTGAGTCTTCTTTCCTTTATTGATTTCAGTTATAACACCTCACCATAGAATGCAATTGCTGCAACCCAACCTAATTCTTCACTTGCAATAGACCTCCTTGATGGAGAATGTAGAATTGATGGTGATGGTGAAGATGAAATGGAAGTAGAACATCATCAGGATGAAACATGAGAAACCGATTATTCATGAGACACCTCAAGATCAGCAAGTTGACATTGAGGCTCAAAATGAATCGGGTGAAGCAAGTATGCAAAGTGGCAATGTGACTCAGAACACTAGACATCAAGCAAGGCTAGAATCTTTAAACCAAAAATTTATGCAAGCTTAACAGTGGATGAATCAACAGATTCTGAACCAATTGATGTTGATGAAGCACTATCAAATAGCAGTTGGAAGAAAGCTATGCAAGAGGAATATGATGCTCTAATGAAGAATAAAACATGGGAATTGGTACCACCTAAGGCTAGGATGAAGATCATTGGTAACAAGTGGGTATTTAAAGTGAAGCATGACTCAAAAAGAAGAGTGGGAGACTTGTTGCTAAGGGCTTTCTTCAAACTCTAGGAGTAGACTTCAATGAGACATTCAGCCCTGTAGTTAAGGCTTCAACCTTGAAGATCATCCTAACACTTGCTGTAGCAAAGAACTGGAGGATCAGACAAGTCGACATAAATAATGCCTTTCTGAATTGTAGTCTAAGAGAGATAGTCTATATGAACCAGCCACATGGCTTTGTAAATGAAGAGCATCCTAACTATGTGTGCAAGTTGAAAAAGGCACTGTATGGTTTAAGGCAAGCTCCAAGAGCCTGGCACGATAGGCTGAAGAATACCTTGTTGGAATGGAGCTTCAAAAAGTCTAAAGCAGACAATTCTATGTTCTTTTTGGCAAGAGAAACTGATGTGTTGTTTGCTTTAATATATGTGGATGACATAGTAATAACAGGTAATAACAGTCAACAACTGCAGGAGTTCATTGATAAGTTGAACATTAGCTTTGCACTTAAAGACATGGGGTGATCTTAAACTGTTTCTGGGAATTGAAGCACAGAGAGATTCAACTGGTTTGTACCTGAATCAAACAAGATATGCCATCGAGTTTCTAAAAAGGTTTGGCGATGAAAACTTGAAACCCAGCCTAACACCTATGGCAGTAGGAAAATCAATCTCCAAAACTAAGGGACAAGCAATGAAGGATCCCACTTTATACAGAAGTGCAATTAGTGGTCTTCAATATATGATTCACACAAGACCGGACATCACTTACTCGGTGAATAAGTTGAACCAATTCCTTCAAGCACCAACACACTCATTGGAAGGTACTTAAAAGGGTATTCAGGTATATAAAGGGCACACTAAGTCATAGACTTGCTATCCAAAAGAATGACAGCCTTGACATCACAACATTTACTGATTCTGATTGGGCCACTTGTCCAGATGACAGAAGGTCTATTGCAGGATATTGCATATAAATTGGAGATAACTTAGTATCCTGGTGTTCCAAGAAGCAACATGTGGTGGCCAGGTCAAGCACGGAAGCTCAGTACAGAGCACTAGCTCATTGTGCTTCAGAAATCACTTGGATTTAGTCACTAATGAAAGAACTGAAATTACCACAGAAGTCAGTTCCAATCATTTGGTGTGATAGCTTAAGTGCTAGTGCCTTGGCTTCAAATCCGGTTTATCATGCTCGCACAAAACATATAGAGCTAGATGCTCACTTTGTAAGAGACAAGGTACTTGGAAATCAGCTGAAGATTAAGTATGTACCTACTTCAGACCAAACAGCACACCTCCTGACCAAACCTATGTCACATTCTAGATTTCAGTTTCTTAGGGACAAGCTTGGAGTATTGGAACACATTCCACCTTGAGCGGGGGTGTTAGAATAACTCATTGCTGCCAACACTCAGACAACATCCTAACAGAATGCTCGGTGGCTGGTGCAATCCCTAATTTTCAGGAGTGGTAGTGTAACTTATTAGCCAGCTAGTAGAAGTTAGTTAGACATGCTAATGGTACATAATTCTAGAATGTTCAAGTCTTGTAATTGTCTATATAAACCGTGTAACATGAATGATAAATCATTGAAGCTTTCAGCATCTTTATCTCTATTTTCTAGCTACTATGTACCGAACATGCATTAAATGTGTTCCTTTTACCCATATTCGTCGGACAGAAAATCTTTCTGGGAGCGTACCTTACGGTGTGGGATATAATAATGCTTGACAAATACACAATTTTGGAATTATATACCTAACACTGGAAACTGTTTTGCACCTTCATCTGCCAAACCAATTGCCATTGTCCAGAAGGTGACAACTTCGTGGATTTTCAAAGGAAAAACCGTAAATACTTGACAAAAGTGACAAACAAATCTTCGAACACACTCAAGAATATAAAGCTCTCAATTTCCAAGCTCTATGCTCCTCTGTGGGGTCTCACAAAGTCCGGTGATACCTATTTCTTTCCAGCATGGATTAACTCTTTGGCAGCTGGTAAAAGCGAGTACGTATATATCCACTTGAGTTCCCCTGCAAAGGTCTCAGTATCAAGTTATACTCTCGTCTAAGATGAGAGGAAGCTGTTTATGAAGAGAAACTCACATGGTTTCCATATGGGATTATAATGTAAGAATTGTGCAGCTATACAAGACATTCTTTTCTCCTTTTGAAGTACCAAGTTTTGATTACTTCTTGATTTGTGGTCGAAGTAGAGATTTCGATGGGATTATGGCTAATAAGATCAAGGATCGGAAGAAGAAAGAAGTGAAGAGACGATTTAACACAGGTGTGTTCATCCTCTTTCTTCGCCAGTCTCCACTTCATTGGTTACAGAGATAAATTGAAAGATGAGAATGAGAAGTTAAGCAGATTAACTTTCCAACAAAGATTAGAAGTTCTATGTTTTCTTGTAGTTCATAGAAGGTTTTAAGGTTTGTTCTGCATTGCCCTTTCTTGTGTTTGATGTTGTAAACACCACAACATTTTTCATTTGAAATTTGAATATATACATAGTCGGCGCAAAGATCGTATATGTCCCATTGTGGGTTCTTTCAACAAGCAATTTTTTTATTTTTTATTTTTATTTTTCACGTAATTGAATGCAAAATAATAATAATAAATAAATAAAAGAAGGGCATAAAGTCAGGATCCAAATATTAAATTTACGTACTAGAGAAGGCGAGTCTGAGACAAAGATTGCAAGGTCGAGATAAAAACACCTATGGGGCAAATTCCAAAAGGACCAGTGAATTAAACCAAAATTTGGAGACAAGAATCTCAACATGAATTTATTTACTAAGAAACTATCAATGTGCTCTAAAGTATTATTCAGTGATTGTCATATGTACAAACCAAAGCCATAGAAGAATGCCACTATCAGCACTTGTTGAATCATTCACTTCATTGCCCAGAACAATGTACCTTCAAGCAGTCTGCTTATTTCGCACACTTTTGTACATATTGTCGATGACACCCTGCAGAATGAAGTAATGAAAAAATATTTAAAACCAAGTATCGAGGAAAGCAGTATATTTGATTAAACCATCTAGTTGAGAAAAATACAACTGAAGCTTAATGTTCAAAAGATCTAAAAATATGAATGTTAGGCAAATTCAATATCAGGATCTATAACTCATCGGGAGAATTCTAAATCATCCGCATAGATTATTTACGTATCTCCACATAGATAATGTTCGTTGAATTGCATAGAGCTTAATGTTATACAAATCAGGTAATGTAAGCATCTTATGACCACTTCAGATGCTTCAAAGAAAACCTACCTGGTAGTACTTGAGCAACTGGGGCCTCTTCCTCTTAAATGTTGGGGTGAGAAGGTCCCGTTCCATGTCAAATGGCACGGGATCGAGATGCAAGGCTTTAATGAATTCAAAACCTTTCAACTGCCAAGAACAAGCATTAGGTTTATTATAGTGTTGGAAACTTTAACAGTTGAGAACATTTCCTTGCGCATTCAGCAACCAAATAAAACACGCACAAACAAAATCAATGAAGAAGTACATTTGATTAGTGATAGTAGGCTAAAAAACACAGGTAACAGAGGAAAAAATTTTAAACCTTCTTTTCTTTTGCAATCTTCGTAAGGTGACCAAGTATAAATTCTTTCACTCGGGCATTTTTGCAAAGGGCATCGAAGTTCCCTGATATACCATTCTCTGCAGCCCACTGTTCAACTGCTTCCTTCTTTGGGTTAACAACAGCGACCAGAAAAGACTCAAAGCTGTTACCATAAACCCATATCTGCAATCGGAAAAAATATGTGATTTTCTAATCATATATAAACAGCACCAACATGAGAAACTAGACCATAAATATTCTCCAAGTTTTCCATATAAATACATGTATTCTAAAACAGTTTAACATGGCCTTTTTTTAGTTGAAACGGACATACATACCGAGTCAATATCAGAAACTAGACCATAAATATTCTCCAAGTTTTCCACTGCAACATATTCTCCCTGGGAGAGCTTGAAAATGTTCTTCTTGCGGTCAATAATTTTCAGGCTCCCATTTGGTTGCCACGCACCAATATCCCCTGACAAAATAGATTTTTACGAAGATCAATAAACAAGATACAAAGTAAACCTCAAATCTTTTCAAGAATGAGTACCTGGACAGACAAACCTGTGTGAAACCAGCCATCAATTAAGACTTCCTTAGTAAGGTCTTCACGTTTGAAGTATCCTGAAAATAAAGTATCTCCCCTAATGCATACTTCTCCACGTGGTTTACCTGAAAGGGCATCATACCCCATTTCAGGAACAGATTCTAGGCAGACATCCACATTGGGCACTGGGGGGCCCACCATACCAAGCATGTCATGCTCACCTGGTATGGAGACAAATGTACCAGCGCAAGTTTCTGTCAAACCTACATCAAAATTCACAATAGAGTCAGGTACCTTTTCATGAGCAGGAGAATACACTATTATAACTGTCAATCAATGCTCCAGTGCCAAACCAGCGTACTACAAGTGCCAATTCAAGAATGACCCGAAGAGAAAATCACTCAATTTAAATGTGACGAAGCCACCAACAACACATGCACCTCTATATTAAATTTTTTATCTTCTATTGAACCAAAGTAATGAAAGACGGAGTTCACCAAGCTGCTTGAATAGGAACAATCGCATAAATTTTAGTACACCAGGATGAGCAAACAATCGCAGAGTATTCGAAGAAAGTAAATCTAATCAAAGTTTAAAGCAACAAATAGAAGATTAAATATTATGTAAGGATGAACTTTTCGGCTGGCATTTACAGATGACCTGTCGGCCGTGATCAGCATCAAGGAGTAAGGAGTCAGTTAGCAGCCCAAAGTCTTGAAAAATAAAAGAACCACATCATATGAAAAAGAAGTAAATGCTGTATGGCGAAAAAAAAAAAGAATTGTTAAGGAATAATATCATAAGATTAAGCTACCGTATCCTTGAAGAACGTAAGAACACGATACTACTCTTAGGAACTCTTCGACAAGAGATGCAAGAGGTGCTGCTCCAGATAAAATAAGTCGTACATTGCCACCTAACCCTTCTTTTATCTAAAGAGCACGAGCACGCGAGAACTGTTACATTGCAATAGAACATGAATAAAGATAAAAGAAGTCATGGACATCAAGTATATCTTACTACCTTATTGAAAGCAATTTTGTCACCAAGTGGAGATGCCTCGGTATATTTCATCCCCTTCCTCAAGTTACGTAGTTTTCTACAATTTTAACATGCAGGCATCAGAATAATATTATCTGTTATAGTAACAAAACCTCGACTTGTAATTTAACAGCCAAAATGCTTATAAAAATTGTAATTTTGGAAACGTATTAGTAGAATTATAGATCATATGATGAGAGATATTCAATTAATGATAAAATAGTCAAAAAGCTTCATAATTCGAGTGCAGCTTTGACATTTTCTTTGACTTGATGCCCCTCACTGAACAGAGAGGCAAGAATTGAAAATGGAACCTACGATAATTTACTTTATGTTCAGATTACAATAAAGATAATTGTATTCCTCATCCTTCATCAAGAGCAAACAAAAGCTCGAGGTGAACTTACAAAGAATATGCAAAATTAAACACAGTTTGTTTAATGAAACCCCCAGAAGAAATCTTCTGCTTCAAACCTGAAATATGAACTGAATTCAATGACGACAAGATGAATGTGGCAGTTAAAGGAGGCATAAATTTACGGTTGATGAGTGCATACAAGTGCAGGATAAAAATGAGGGACCTTTTAATCAGAGAAGGCAAATATTTTCTCTCTCCAGATTTTAAATTACATAGGGTGTGTTTGATCCACATTATTTTGGAAGAATATATTTTAGAATAGTAGATTGATGGAGAATGTGTGGTTGAAAATAAAGGAAAAGTTATTGATGTGATGGAAATTATTATTTTATTGAAAGATACGTGGTTGAAAATGAGTAGAAGAATGAAAATGAAAATTTTAATGTGTACCAAACAGGGGCATAATCTGATTTTTCAAAAGTTACACCATTTAACATCTACTAACTCATTCAATTTCAGACAGTAAATCATATGCACAAGATAGTTTGCAGGTGGGCCTTACAGGGGAAAGAATCAAAAAATATTATCCCATCCTAAATTTACTTTTTCTTTTGTTGGAAACTAGATTTTTTTCTATGAGGAATATTTATGCACAAATGATCAAGAAACACAACATATCATCCAGCATTGATACACAGAGTTTCTCAGACTTCGACTAAGGGCATATGCTAGAGTAATGAAGACAGAGATACTCCTCACCATTTCCATGTGCTGCTAAAAAGATGAAAGGAATTTAAGTAGATAATGATCATAATACACATCATGGATGGAGGAAACAGACCTGAATAAATTCTATCTAATACCCAAGGAACTGCACAGAAAATAGTCGGTTTTAGCTCTGCAATATCTTCAACCAATAACTTAACATCCTGGCAAGGTGGCAATGTCATGATTTAATAATAATGTTTTATAAGCTTGAATATGATTACAACAATAAATCAAACCTTCATACCCCACGCCAAAGTCCTATTGATGCTCCATGATGGATGCAGCATTCTTCAAGAACACGATCAAATATATGTGCTAAAGGAAGATATGATATATATACATCACTTTCATTCAACCGCAATAATAAAAAGAAGTTAAAATTTGTATTCTATTTATTTAAAATAATCCACCAGTTGTTTCCTACATTTTTTGAGAAACCACTTAAATTTTGACAATTTAATCTAATTCAAGCCATGTATTCCATGACAATTTAAGAGAAATAAATAGACATGTAATCACCGCTTCCTTCACACTCCCTAGCAAACGCTTAACTCCAGCTACTAGAGTAATAATGTTGTTATTTGATATCATGACACCCTTGGGGTCCCCAGTTGTTCCACTGGTATACATTATTGTGCAAATGTCGGTTTTCTTTTTCACCGGAAGATCAAAGTGCTTATTTTCTCCCTGCATAATATCAGAGGCGCCAGAATTAGATGCAAGAAATCAACACAGAAGGAAAAGTCTATACATTTATCTTTCTATTCTGATTGACACTCAAATTCCTTCACTAAATAAAAAAACTCTGCCAACAGATAGTATTAGACACAGCAAAGATAAACTAGCACTGTGAGATCAAATAAATACTTTGCAAATGCAAATGCAAGTGCTAGTACCAGCTGAAAGAATATTTCAATTTTTCTTAGCATTTAGGTGATAGAATAGTTATTTTGTCCTTTAAAAAGAACTTATCAGCATTTCTTTTATCAAATACAGCAGTAGCTCATTTTTAAAATCAACACTATATACAAAATAAACTCATTCACCCAAGCTTATAAGCTCTTGTTAACAAGGTTTGTTTAAGCTTATCCCAGATTAAAAATATTCGAACCCAAACATGAAAGTGGTAATAACAGACTGAAATCAATGGACTTACCAATAACAAAAATTCATCCCAAGAATACATAACCACACCAAACTTTTCCACTTCTTCCCTCTGTTGAGAAGTAACTTTACCAAAGCTCACAATTGCTAAAATCCAGATAAACAAAAGATTGGTAGATAAGAACCTTCATTAAATCCACAATACTGAAAAAGAGATCTTACTCCACAAATGACTTACTTTTCAAGGACTTTGTTGTGCTTGGACAAGTTTTCAACAGCTGCAAGGCCAAAAACATGTATTAGCAAAAGTGTACATTCCCAGACCTCATCCTGATCACACGAATCAAACATACATTCTGATATATAACCACCAAGTTCATGAGAAGTTGTTTCAGTCATTAGATACCAAAGAAGTAAAACCAAATGTATCAAATGAAACATAATAGTAAAAAAATATTTATTTAATGAAACTAGTATTTAACAAAAACGAATAATCGTCCAGAACAATTTCAAAACAATCCTGTAAAAGCAATTGTAACCTCAGGAATTTTTTTCTCCTCCACAAAAGCAATTGTAACTTCAGCATGACAAATGATGAATTCAACAGCGCCAGCACCTAAACCATGCAAAAGGGACTTGTAACCTAATGATACTATGGATGGTCTTAAATCATAGGTCCCAAAAGCATCAAGTAGATGATAAATGCCAATAAGCCTTTGAATTGTAAACTGACAGAGGCATCCATTGCATCGCGACAAGTGCAAAGCTGAATGCAATAGAAGAGATTTACATACCTAAGGTGTCATATAAAGGAACACAGTAGAGTCCATGAGCATTACATGCCTGCATTTATTTGTTGGAGTCAGAAGAAATGTGGAAATTTCTGTTCTGGATATTTTCATAACCACATTAATGTTGAAATCTAAGACGAAAATGTAACCATCCATTAAGAATACTTTAGGGGAGGAAAAGATATGGAATGCAATAACGCCAAAGACATTTTGATTCCTTTCTTCAAGTTAGATTAAATTGCAACATATACTGTACTATACTCTCCTCTCGGGGTCCTTGTTAGTGCAGATGTTACCAACAATTTACAACTCACAAAATCAAATAGACATGCAATCCTTGTTTTCATACTGTCAACTACGACAAGAAAACAACATGGTGGGAGGGAGGGAGGGAGAGAGAGAGAGAGAGAGAGAGAGTACCTCCATACTGATAAGCCACTCAGGAGAATTAGCACCATAAATACCACATCGTCCAGCCTAAAATCATTAACAGAGTGAGACACAAAAATTTTGAATACAGGTAATATTTCAATTAATTGTATACTAATAGTGCAGATAAACCACCGTAAATGAGTGTAAGGGGCAGAAGTCAACGAGGTCCCCATTGAGAAATGACAAAGGGGAAAAGAACAAAAATTCTACACCCAAGACAATATAAGCAAGCAAATACACAATTTCTTATAAATAACTAACAGCCAAAAGTAACCAAGAAACGGTAAGTAAATAGAAGATCATTATATAACCCTGAATATTTGTTTGATGACAAGGCAACTGATTCTCGCAGTTTACAGTAGAAGAAAAATTCTGCGTTCAATAGGGAAAGCTAACTTGATATAACTTACAACTAAGAGAAAGACTTCAAATGACATTACATTGCGGTGTTTTTCCTTCGGTAAAAGAAAAGTAACAACAGAAATAGATTCCAAGAAATGCTGAATTGAAACTTACTTCCTCAATGCCACAAGTGCGAACAGAATTCCCAACTTTCATCACCAAGTCGTATACTTCTATGTATGTCATCCATACATACTTACCCGGCTGGGAGTACAAGAACCAAATAATGGAGTTAAGTAAAAGTTGGAAAAAAAAAAAAGTATAAGCAGAAGTTTCACACATGCAAGCATGAAACACTTACTTCGTTTAAAATATAACTTTCCATCTATGACTTCTCGACGACCCAGCATCCGGTTATTGGGATACTTTTCCACTGACAAGCTGAGACACAAGGGAAAGAGTTAAATTCAAAGATTCACGAGCACAAGACATTAAAATGAAAAACAACAGAGTAAACTTCAAGCAGAATCATTCAGTTAACTTCAAGAAGAGTTATTAAGTGCTATCAAAGAAACGGGTAGAATGGCAACCTATGCCAACCATGAAATCTAGAGGGCTTTTTTTTTTTAAATGTAAATATAACTATGCTTAAAAAGTACAAAGCTCACTTATTAATTATTGAAAAGTATTACAAAACAACTTTACATTAGCATAGACATAAAAGGAAATTAAAAAAAAATACAGGAATTGTAACTAACAAGTATACACTATCACGTATTTGCTATCAAATACGTCAAACAGAGTAGTCTCCATGTTTCGTAGCCAATACCGAACATAAACAAAAAAGATTAATGTTTTGATTCCAAAATCTTCTATAATCATACAATTCGATCACATAAACCGTAATTCTTTCAATTTCCACAGCATAAATCAGTTAAGCTCAGCGCATAAAATCAATAAATACTAGCATAAAACACAAGACAAAAACTTCATCTAGTCATCCAATATCTCTTCCGTTAAAATAAGCTCCAATTTCAATGATCCTCGCAGTAACTCAAACCATAATCGTATCAAGCAACAGGGAAAAATCACAGATTTAACTCATGCAAGTATATAATGAATCCCCACGAACAAACTTCATAGTGTAAAAATCATGGGATCAATGACAATGCCGTTAAAATAAAACACACCGGAAAATATCCCAGCTGCTATTCAGGCCAGGAATCGGCGCCGGAAATCCATCCTTGGCAAAAACGCTGCGATAAGCCGGTCCCATTGACGGCTTCCCATCCTTGGCTAGCTTAGCCGGCTCCACTTCTATGATAAACCTCTTATCCGCCATTTTCGATCCTTCTGATTTCTCCCTATAACAAATATACTTAATTATATAAAAAATGCGTACGTGATGTAATGCCGATTAGATGGGAATTTGTCGCTAACCCGAAATAATCAAGTTTTAGTTGTGTACGGTGTATAGTAGTCATAGAGGGTGGCTATGCATATAGTACCGAATGTCGTAAGTTGAAATCGTAATAAGTAGATAGAGGGTTGTATACTTGTATGATGTAGGCATGTAGCTAGGTACATTACCAGATTTTCTCACGATTGTGCCAGATCAACACAGACACATTTTATTGGTAGTTCGGCCAAAAATATTTTCCAACCATCCAACCACGATTTGTCAACTCATTCCAATAAAATAATATGTACAAAATGGCATAAATAGTTAATCAAAAATAATATGAACAAATGGCATAACTTGTTAATCAAAGTCGAACTTCTCCATTCGAAACTGAAACCCAATTCTAGAAAAAAATTAAGAATCGAAATCGAGAACTGATCGGGTCCGAATGGTTATTAGTTCTTGAATAGAAATCGTGCTCTCAGACCAAATTTGTCAATTTTTTATATATTTTTTTTATTTTTTGCAATTTATTTATCTTGACTCACGAAAACGATGGGATAAAAAAAATCGACAATATTGATTGCTATGTTGTTTTCAAATAAATGAATATATATTGTTTTTAGTATTTATAGATTCTAGTAATTTCTTATTATTGTTTTCTAATTTTTCATTTTTTATTTTGGTTTTTATGCTCTACTAAATATTAAATACTATTTTGTGACATATTTGCACTAGATTAAGAAAGTCTTTAAATATGCACAGGGAGTCATATTTTATTTTGCTAAATAATGAGAATATAATTTGTATTGCCATGTCACTATTTTATTTTTTTTTAAATAATTATGGGTAGAACTTATCGAACCTTTGAGTTCCATTCTTTTAATTACATAGACATGAATGGTTCCAAAATGAAATATCTAAAGTGTAATGAATGGTTCTGAAATTTGAAATACCTGGATCGATCTATTCGATGTCGAGATCTAGATGCAGCTAAAAAAACATTTCAATACATAGTTGCAGTTTATAAATTTTAAGGGCGTGTTTGGAATACAAGAAAAAATGGGTGGAAAAGGAAATTTGAGAAAGCAACTTATTTTTGGTAAGAGTAAAAGAGCCCATGTTCAGCTTTGCTAAATTCAAATTTTTGGTAAATTTGGTTAAAATTTTTTGAAATATATGGTTAAAAAGTTGGTAGAAGTATGAGTTTCATGAAATCTATAATTAAAATTCATTGTTAACTTTGACTTAAATTTTTATCAATTTTCTTAGCTAAACCAAATAGAATAGTGTATTTAATTGGACTTTTTGAGACTTAAAAAGTGTATGAATATTCAATGTAAACTTTTTGGGACTCTTTAAAAGTCGCGATGCATGCACATAAAACTTTTTAAAAGTCTCTATAGCTCCTAGTGAATTCAAAATGTCAATAACTTTTAATTTTTAATTTTTTTTTATAAAAGTCTATAGGTAAAAAGTACAAAAACAAAATCTCAAAAATTGTGTCTCGTTCACCACAAAATTTTTGGAGACTTTCAAAAAAGAAAAAAAAAATTAATAGGTATTTTCGTTCTTTCAATATTTTTCTTGTCTCTTTCCTCTACGAACCTTCTACCGATTATATTTGTTTACATGGTTGTGTTACATGTATATAATGATTTACATACACATGTTGTGGTGAATGAATAGATCAGAATTTTTTCAACCTAAAAAAAAAAACTCTCTCTCTTTTTGATACATTATCTGTATGTAAATCATTATATACAAATAGAATAATTCTTTTTTATATTCTCCTCCTCTCTCTTATTCTTTCTCTCCAGTTCCTACAAAACAATTAATTGTAATTAAAATTTCTTATAACATTTTTTCTTTATTTAGACCTTGTTTGATTCTCGTTTTTTTTAAAATACATTTTTCTTTCTCTTCTTTTTAACCACACATTTTTTAATAAAACAATATTATACGCAATCTAAAAACTTTTCCTTTA